CAATTGAAGCCATGAGACAAGCAGCGAAGGATTACAGCTCGATGTATCCAGGCGCAGCGGAGAGGATTGTTTTGGATATGTACGTCGACGATTTCCTATCAGGTGCGAAGAACATGGATGAAGCAAGGGAGCTAAAGAACCAAGTTATCGAGATCATGAAATCGGCGGGATTCAACCTACGTAAATGGACATCCAATCGTTCAGAACTTCTACGAGATGGGGAAGATGCAGAGCAAGCACCAATAGACGTTAAACTGGCGGAGCATCCAGACGCTGTCAAGGCACTAGGGATACAGTGGCTGCCTAAGGAAGACGTCTTTTCCTTCAAGGTTAGTCTCTCACCAGATAACGTGAATAGTAAACGTCAGTTACTCTCGGACTCTTCACGGCTGTTCGATCCATTTGGATGGCTGTCTCCAGTGATTGTGATGGTCAAGATTATGTTTCAACAACTGTGGTTGAGTGATATTTCCTGGGATGATCCACTTCCTCCTGCTATCGAGACAATGTGGATAGATATTAAGGAAAACCTTCACCTCGTCGAACAGATTCGCATTCCACGATTCATCGCGAGCTTCAACGGCAAGGTAGAGTTACATGGGTTTTCGGATGCTTCCGAGATGGCGTACGGTGCTGTGGTGTACAGCAGAGCAAGAGACGAAGAAGGAAACATTTTGGTGAACCTCGTGGCTGCAAAGACAAGAGTGGCGCCGATTAAACAAGTTTCGCTGCCCCGATTGGAGCTTTGCGCAGCAGCCTTACTGGCAGAACTTATGCAGCGAATTACTCAAGCACTCTCCCATCTGGAAGTGGAGCATTGGGCGTGGACAGACAATACTATAGTTCTTCAGTGGTTGTCTGCTCATCCTCGCAAGTGGAAAACGTACATAGCCAACCGTACTTCTGCGATCCTGGATTTCTTACCTCGTGATCGCTGGAACCACGTGAGCGGTCAAGACAACCCAGCGGATTGTGCATCTCGTGGTTTAACTCCAGGTGAACTTGTATCGTTTGATTTGTGGTTTAACGGACCGCAGTGGTTATGCAAGGATGAAGAATTTTGGAATGCTGAACCCTACGATCCAGTCGACGATGAAAACCTTTTGGAAGTGCGGAAACTCAAGGTACTGCATACCAATCCGAAAGCTACTCGAGACAACTACGACGTCGAGCGGGAATTGATTGAACGGCGATCAAGCTTCAATTTGGTTGTTCGAGCACTTGCGTATGTAAATAGATTTGTGCAAGCTACCAAGGGAATGGAATGTGAACCTACGCTGACACCCGGCGAACTGTATGCGGCTAAGGCGCAGATAGCTAGAACTGCACAATTCGATGTGTACAAGCAGGAAATGGAATTACTCGCAAAGGAAAAGGAGTTGCCGGCCAAGAACAGATTGTCAGCACTACACCCTTTCCTGGACAATACTGGAACGATGCGCGTGGGAGGCCGTCTTCAGAATTCTCCCTACTCATTCGATGTGAAACATCCGATCATTCTTCCACGTGACCATCGAGTAACGGAACTTCTTCTGAGAGAACTTCATCTGCAAAATCTCCATGCGGGGCCCACTCTGCTTACAGCTACAGTAAATCAGCAGTACTGGGTGATCGGACTACAGGCAGCAGTACGACGAACAGTTCAAAGCTGTATTCGATGCGTAAGAATGAAGGGACACATGGCCAATCAGCTCATGGGCAGCCTGCCTGTGCCTCGTGTAATGGCAACCCGCGCATTTACCCACGTTGGCGTTGACTACGCCGGCCCATTCAAGATTCATGCGCTGTGCGTTAGAGGAGTCAAAGTCACAAAAGGTTATTTCGCGGTTTTTGTGTGCATGTCGACTAAGGCTGTACACTTGGAGGTTGCCAGTGATCTCTCAAGCAATGTGTTCATCGCCGCGCTTAAGCGATTCATCGCTAGACGCGGATATCCAAACGAAATCTGGTCCGATAATGGGACAAATTTCGTGGGTACCGACCGTTGGCTGCACGAATTGCAACGTACTCTGGAGAATAACAGTAAGACAGCAGGACATTTCCTCTCTAATCTGGGCATCAAATGGGTTTTCAACCCTCCGTCCTCTCCGCATCGAGGCGGAATATGGGAAGCAGCTGTTAAAAGCGTCAAGAAGCACCTCTTGGCAGTACTTGGTTCGGAAGCACTCACCTACGAAGAACTTGCAACGATTTTGGCTCAAGTCGAAGCATGCCTAAACTCAAGACCCCTCTGTCCACTATCGAGCAATCCTGATAGTTACGAAGCTTTGACACCCGGTCACTTTTTGATTGGTCAACCGTTGAATCTCATTCCGGAACCTGATGTGCAGCATATCCCATCCAACCGCCTGGATAAATGGCAGCTTGTGCAGAAATACTCCGACGAAGTTTGGAAGCGATGGCGGGACGAATATGTGGCTACGCTGCAACCGCGTACTAAATGGCGAGTTACGGAAACGAATGTTAAAGAGGATCAACTGGTGTTGGTGAAAAATGAGAACGCTCCGCCGGCTCAATGGGAGTTGGCACGCATCGTTAAGCTTCATCCAGATGCAGCTGGAATCGTTCGGACTGTTACCTTGCGGCGTGGTCAAGCTGAGTACCAGCGCCCGGTACAGAAGGTCTGTATCTTGACATCGGATTGAGGCACGTGGCCTCAAGGCGGGGGAGGATGTTCCGGTGCGAGAGCCCCCAATTCTAATCGTACACCACATCCGCCTCTACCTTGCACCCATCTGTCAGTGCAGAAGCGATTCGCACATGTTTTTTCCTTCCAAAAACATAACATGTAAAACCATCGAACTGTAAACAACAAAAAACAGAGAAAATTAAAAAGTTGAATTAGCAAAGTGACATCGTCGGTTTTTTTCCTTGTCTCCGTGTTCCGTCGGAATTCGGTTTTGTACACCCATACTCGCCGGAATATGTTCCGACCATTGCACTGGAACCGGAACGAATCCGAAAACATTCAATAACGTTCTATGGGACCATGATATCTTTCTACTGTTCAATACTGTGCTAAACTAATATGGCATCGTCATGGCATTGTGACTGACTTGCGGTTAGTTTTCTCATTGATGTTAAATGTAATCGTCAGTCCCACTCAGATTTTGTTCATAAAATAAAAATTTCACGATATTTTGTCCAATATTTTTTTAGTAAACCTAGATGGATTCTATTACATTGCACGTTTGTTTTTAAAATTATCCCTCCAACATAAGTGTAAAATCCGATAACTTTTAAAATCTTTAATCGCCGTTTTCTCATTACCAGTTTTTGACAGATGGGACTGACTAGCGTTTATGGGCAGCATAGTTCGTTAAAGTTCTGCTTTTCGAAATGCCATATTTTTCACTAATATAGTTAAACATGCAAGATTTATTGCAAATTGATTTCAACACGAAAAAAACATCAATAAATTTACTATGATTTTTCAAATATTTACATAGGAATTGCACTTCGTAACTTCGACGACCATTTTCTCAATGCCTACTTTTTCCATATGGGACTGATATGCGATTATAGGCAGTATAGTTAGTCAATTTTGGAGGACACTTCAATAGCGAGCCTAGGAAACTTGACCATCTGAGAAATGTCTAGGAAAAATCAAGAGGAGGACGAGGGCGTGTTCAAAGAGCTTCAAGGGAAACCCAGGAAAAATGAAGTCACGGGGATCCAATCACAGTAACGAGTCACTTTTTAGTGAACTGGTCCCTTTTTTCAAGCCAGTCACTGAAAAAAGTCTCCTTTTGTTAAGGCCAAGTCACTAAAGTAACTTTTTCTTGTAATCAGTCAACTTTTTTAGCATGAATTTATTTCAAGATTGATCATTCTCCTTGCAGTGTGTAGGATCTGATAGTCCAATCAATGGCTACATCTACATGTAGTCGAAGACAACATATCGAGAAGACTGGCAACTTTGCCTGAATCCAAGCGCCAGGCACAGTATCGCCAACCGGTGAAAACTAACGATTTTAAATTGGCTCACTACTTGACTAGCCTATTGGTGCCAAGCAAATCGATTAACGTACCCCATTCTAGTCAAAATTCTAGTACTACACTATGTTTGTTTTGATTCGCTATGAAAGTTTGACAGATATAATGAGGGGTTAGTGGATTTCCCTATGTTTCGAGGGGTAAATCGATTAGCTTGGGACCGAAGATAGTACCAGAGCTGAGCCAAAAAGTTGAGCACGTTTCTTTGGGACCTGCTAGTCTTAGAGTTACCTCTATGGTAGCGCTGCGCTCGAGCAAAGGTAGAAGCCATGCATAGAAGAATGAGCAAATACACAAACCTTTTTTCTGAGGATGGAACCTTTGCTATCCAATTCGTTCGAAGCATTTACCTTTGAGCGGCAGATGACGCGATTCTGCCTGTCTCATACCAGACGTATGAGAATATGAGAGAGCTGCCAGTCTTCTTGATATGTTTGTCTTCGATTTAGTTCTACTTTTCGAACAATTCAAAGGTGTTGTGTTAAGAGCTTTTTGACGTTTAATCGCTATATGTACAGGATGTCTACTCATATGGCTAAATAAAATTCCCTGATTTTTCTAGGTTTCTCCAGAACTTTAACGGACAATTTCCAGGCTTGTAATAAGAAAGCTATTTTTAAAATGCGTTGAAAATATGTTTTTTTTTTTGTAAAACAACAATCAATTTTAACATTACTACGGAGTTCGGATCAATATGACCCGAATCGCACTTTTTAAGCATCATAACTTTTGGCGGTTACGATTTATCGCTCTCAAATTTTGTGATTTTTAATCTTTTATGGAAAACTCAATTTATCCTTTTTGATCGAAGTTTTTGGACACTTTTGAAGTGCTTCTCAAAAAAAAAAAAGTTAAAAACTTCTGCAAATTTTGAAGTGTCGCGGCTTGGTCTTATGACCATTATAAATTGGCCAACTTTCCGGGCAGAGATCGATCGCTCTTTCGAGACTTTTTCATTGCCTTTTAATATAGAATGCTTACGTTAAATCCAAGCTAGAACTCACCTTTGAGCGTCAGCCCGGAACCGTTACCGGTGGAGATAGCATTCACGAAGGTTAGCTTTCCCCCGTGTCCGGTGGTTCGGTACAGGGGCAGTGCCGTTGCACCGTTCGTCCCCGCCGGCAGAATGTTCAGCTCGGCTCCGCCAGGGAGCCGGGCCAGCTCCGGTGTGATGGTGGTCGTCATGATGGGCGAGCTACCGTTGCTGTACCCCGTCGTCGTGCCGGAGCTGGATATCGTGGTAATGCCATTGCTGGTGGAGCTGTTGGTGGAACTGATGAGAAGTTTGTGCAGCTGCGCTCCGGTCATCGATTGGATGTGGGTTTGTTGCGGGTGGCGGATGCTAGATTGGCTGGAGGTTAAATGCGACAGGCTGGTACTACTGATGCTGTTACCACCGGTGGTTCGTTGAGTTTGGTTTGACTGCGGCTGCACTGCAAGAAGGATCGGAATTAAAATTGGTGCGTCTGAGGAGAGTCGCAGTGGGGCTTGGTAAACTACCATTAGCAGGGGTGCTAAGCTCGATGGTTGCCAGTCCGTTGGGGGCATGCTGGATCACTCGAAGACTTTGCGGCGTGAGCAACTGAATTGGGCTCATCACTAGTCCACCCTGTTGGACGACCTGCGAAATTGGGAGGATCAACCGGTGCTGGAAGCGAACGTTAGAAGTTACAAAATTACCTGCGACAGCATCATTTTGTCGATGGTATTGCCATTGACCAGCTTGATCACCTTGGTTGCCGGGGGTTCTAGTGCGGAACCAGCCGCTGATTGGGTGGCAATAATTTCAATTTTGTTGCTATCGGTACGGAAACCGTTCCTGGGCAGAGTGGTACCGTTGATCAGTTCCTTGCCGGTGACGGAACTGATCAAGCCTGCAGGAATCGTCGTTCCATTGGCGGTAGTTCCGATGATTTGCAAACCGGAAGTAGTGCTGGTCATTCCGTTGGATGAGCTGACAATGGACGACGAATGGTGACCGTTCGAGATGCTGGAAGTGACATTCAAGTTCAGAGGCAGTGCCTGAAGTGCGGTGCCGTTTCCAGTCGTCAAGATTGTCGCCGTAACCGGTGTGAACTGACTTAGGCTGCCGATGTTGTTGGCTGGAATGAAAGCGAAATTGAAGTTTGGCTTGTTGAAGAACTGGGCGTTGGTTGTGACCTACCATTAACGATCAACGGCAGTGGGGTTCCATTGATACAGTTGGTACCGATGGAACCGCCGTTGATGCTGTTTGGAGTACTGCAATTGCTACCACCTACGCTGGAGGAGCTTCCTCCGTTGATGAGTCCATTGCTGGTACTGAGATTGAGCCCATTTGGTAGACTGGTAATGCCTGTGCTGAACTTGAGCGGCGACGGGGTACTATTGTGCGTCTCGGACACCGCTGGGGAACTCTTGGTCGTGAGGGACAGTGGCATCAGCATGCCACTGACGGCCGCCGGTGAGCTCGAGTTTCGATTCGAGATCAATGACGGTGGACTGGCACGGCTTGGTGACGAAGCTGCTATCAGCACAGGTGAGATGGTGGTTTGCAGCTGTTGGAAGGGGAAATTTGGAACGTTGACAATTGAACGATCTATACACGGTTAAGCAAAAAAACAAGCTACTGACCGGTAGGTTTCCGATGGAGGCAGTGGTGGCAACACTGGATAGAGAGCTGGACGAGCTGTACCGAATTCCATTACGGCCCGGAGCAATACCCGGCGGGTCGTTCAGGAGATCTGTAAAAATTACAATTTCAAATAAGACACTGTCTTCTACAGCAAGACTCAGAGTGAAAATACCTCGATCCGATTGCACACCGCTGCTGGCGATGGTGGTGGTGCTGCTGTTGGGAATGGCATCGGTATCGGGTGCAAGGCGCGAAAAGTCCACGTCACCCCACTGCGATAGCTCCCGCTTCAGCAGCAGTATCCGGTTTTGGGAGGCAATTTTCTCCTTCGCCAGCCGTTCCATCTCATGTTCGTATTCGCGTTCCTTGCGCTTCAACAGCTGCAGGAGTCGGATTTATGACATGGGTTTTCTTGGGAGACACAAACGCACAACTTACCTGAATATGGCGTATGGCCGCATGGAGAATCGACAGGTTGGAGGTTTTCTTCTCGTCCGGTTGGATCGTAAGCTGCTTCTTCAGCTGCTCGAAGCACTCCTTCAGGTGGGCCCGTCGATTCTTCTCCAGCTTGTTGTGCACTTCCCGTGTACCAACGCTGCTGGAAAGGGGAAAAAGTTGCAAACAATTGTATGTAATCACTCGTTTCAGTTTGCAACAATGTGTTTGTTTTATAAAAAACAACGTACCCATTACTGTTGGAGCTGGTGGTCCTCCGCCGGCCACCGGTGGGGATGTGGCTTAGCAGTGTAGCCGTGCTTGTTAACCCGTGATGCGGTTGTCCGGCCTGCACTAGATGGCTGATTTGTTGCTGTTGCTGCTGCTGCTGCTGTTGTACAATAACGAGATCGTGCGGCAGCGGGGACGAGTTGGATCCATGTGACGTTGCTATCACGCTTCCGTTGATGGGCAGCGGTGAAGACCCGCTCAGGTTGAGCGAGCTGGAGCTGTTGGCGCTGTGGCTGGTGATGTAACCGCTAGTAGAACCGCCGCTCAGATTCAGCGACGATTGCGAATCGTCCACGGGCGAAATGGTAAGAGTCGACGAGGACGATGAACAACCGGACGACGGCGGCGTACTGGATAGCCGGTGACCGCCACCACTGCTGTTACTTTTGGTCGAGAGATCAATCGTGAGGGAAGAGACGGCATGGTGCTTCTGGTGGATGCTGCTACTGCTGATGATGCTGTTGCTACTGCTACCATTGGTCGATATCACAACGAGCGGTGGTGCTGTGGAATGTCCGTTTACGAGGGGTTCGTCTGGAATGATCGAGCAAGGGGAAAGAATGGCAGTTGAAAAAAAAATGTGTTGCATAATCAAACGTGTGAAATTGAATCCGCCTGGGCGGTGCGCGGTGTGGGGTGTGATGCATTGCGCTGCACCCAAGAATTATAGACACTGAGGACGGGTGGCTGTTTGTTGTTTGTCAGCAGCGTGGCTGGGAGTGATTAAAATCCTGTTTCAATGTCATGCAATCATGTGGGTACATGCCAGCCAATGTGTGTGTTTGTGTTTTTATTAAACCGCAATGTGCGCGGCATCTACTGCGACTGGATTGGAGTGCGATTCGAGGTGCAATCAGTATATAAATAGTTAGCGCGAGGAAAGTTAGATGCGCTTTTTAACGGTGTTTTGTGATCAAACGATGATTGACTGAAGTCGTTTGCACTATAGTCACTATATTCATAGTCTGGCGGATACAAAATCCTGCAAACTGGCAATCCTAAGCAACAAATACCATAAACGAATTGTATCCCGGATGGGTAAACTATCCCACAAATTGTTTGGATGATACCCCGAACACGTAGTTAAGCTCTCTTTTATGGTTATTTTTATTAGGGAACTTTGAATTCTTTAATAATAATCTGGCAGTCTGTAAAAAAGCTCAAGTTTGTTCTGTTTTCGTTTTCCGCAACATATAAAATTTTTATCTGGGCAGTATCAATATCAATGTTTACAGTTTTCTAAGGCATAGGAGGAAATGTTTTAAAAGAATATCGATCAAATTACACTGCAAACAATGTACCTAAAAGTATACTAGTCGTCGTTTACGCATTAGCCGCGTCGATGTTCTCAATGATATACGTAAAAATAGCATTCAGCAGCGCATTGATAGATTACCACCTGGATGGATTTATGTTCGATTTCATTGTCGTTACGATCATTATACTTCGACCACATTGGTCGTAAAAGAAACGATATTGCTAGATTGGGTCCCGCAAGTGACAGGAAATTGGCTCCTGTCATTGTCTCCGCCATGATGTGAGAATTGGTATGAATCATGTTACCATGCTTCTGCGTTAACTTTCCTTCAGATGTCACTGCTGTTCTTAATGGTGACATCTATCAGAAGTTACGCATACACTTAGTTCCGTTAATTATTAACAGAGGGCAGTGCGGTAAAAACACATACGATACCTCATCAAAATACATGGCATGTTCAGAGATTGAGCTCGTGAGAGCGAATTTTCTCTCTCAAATTTGAATTTTTTGGCTCTCTGGAAACTGGTGGTAAAGCGGGTAAAACTGTTGGAGATTTTTTTTTAATTTAAGCACGATTTAATTCCAAACGAGAGTTGGGGAAAAAAACCGGAAGCGTACCGGTGAGGTTCACCAAAGCACAACAAGTTTGGCTTTCGTTTACCGGTAAACGAGTTTGGTATGTAAAAAATGAAAAACACAAAACCGAACCAAGGTTGTGTAGCGGTTGTGTTTTCGGGTTGATATTTTACGGACGTGCAAGTGGTGCCCGATTTTTTCTTTTACATTTTATATAATTATTTTAAATTTATCTCAAAACATCTTAACCATACCAACAATTTATGACCGCCACCATTTCAAAATCCAAGATGGCAACTGGATGGATGGTTAGAGAAAAACAGGGAAATACTATCAAATACCCCACAATATGGGTATTTTTAGAATTTGAATGATGTGTAGAGACCGAAAATCGATGTCTGACGCAATTTTGAAATCCAAGATGGCGACATACGGGTAGAGAAAAGCTGGGAAATACTGTCAAATATCACACAATATGGGTATTTTTGGAATTGGGATGACATGTAGGGACCGGAAATCGATGTCTGACGCCATTTTGAAATCCAAGATGGTGGCTTCCGGTTAGATAAAAACTGGGAAATACTGTAAATAGCACACCAGAAATCGACGTATGACACAATTTAGAAATCCAAGTTGGGCGCTTCCAGTTAGAGAATCTGGGGAAATATTGTCAAATACCCCACAATAAATATGGGTAGTTTTAGAATCGAAATGACGGGTAGGGATCGGAAATCGATGTATGACGCCATTTTGAAACACAAGATGGCGGCTCTGGATGGAGACAAACTGGAAAATACTGTCAAATACCCCACATTATGGGTATTTTTGGAATCACAGGGCGGCAAGTGAACCAGGAAAACCGGGAAAAAGTCGGGAATTTATTTTCACCAGGAAAAACCGGGAAATTCATAAGTCCACCAGGAAAAACCGGGAAATTCATAAGTCCACCAGAAAAATAATCTTGTTTGTATAATTTAAATAGGTTTTAAATTTTATGAATGTCAAAGTTCATTTCTATAATCAGGTCAAAACTAACCATTTTGTTCAAGCTAAACCTTTCACATAACTAAACATTGATGAACAACATGTATGATTTGTGCTTAATTGATAGCAGACTTAAGCAGTGCCGACGCGTAACTACTTTGAAGTACCTGTTCAACATGTTCAATAAAAAAGTTCCACTTCTAAAAACTTTAGATAAGGCCTTCGAACTTCAAGCAAGTTCTACAAAATTTAGGAAAGTCCTACAAGTTTCAGGAAAATCCTGTGAACTACTGTGATGACCTACGACGGTCAGAAAATCTCTCCGAACCTTCAGAGAAGTTCTACAAATTTCAGAGAAGTCTTACGAACTTCAGGGAAGTCCTTTAATTTGTGGGGAATAATTACGAATTTTACAGAATTTTCTACAGATTTAATGTAACTTCTACGACATTTAGGCATTGCTTAAAACTTAAGGATAATCCTATGACACTTATGGATTTTTTCCGAGCTTCAGAGAAGTCTTCAATACTCTTGGGAAGTCCTCTGAACTAAACATAGTTCTCCAAGCTCAAAAAAGTTCCTAGAACTTCCGAGAAGTCGATTGAACTACAGGTAGTCCGACGAAACTCATGGGAACTCTCGAAACTTCAGGGAATTTCCAAGAAATTAAGGAAAGACCCACAAACTTTTGGAAAACCCTTCGATATTTAAAGCCTTATGAACTTCAGGGAAGCTCTTCTAAATTTAGGGTCCTCATATATTCAGTTAAGTCCTTCAAACTTCAGGGAAGTCCTCAGATCTTCGAGAAAGTTCTTCGAACTTGAAGGAAGTCTTATGAACTTCTGAGAATTTCATGTGATGTTGTTTTTGACATCATCCACATCCAGAGGGCCAGTCATTTTCGAATGTATGGGAATGGTAGGAAACCATTTGAAAATGCATGAAAATTTTCAGTTTTTATTCATTATCGTCTTTATGGGCACCCTAATAAAAATGTTATGGTTAATTTGCTTAACGACGTGTTCGGGGTATCATCCAAACCATTTGTGGAATTGTTCAATCATTTGGGTTACCGTTCGTTTATGGTTATTTTTTATTAGGGCAGTTTTAAATGCACAAAAATTGCACGAGTACATTACTATGGTGATATTAAGGTAAACACTCGTTTATTTGTTTCCTTCTGTGAAAGTATGTTTAGTCACAAATCGTGGATTTTCTGATATTCTCCATACTGCAAAAATGATTTTCCTACCACTGAAGGGGCGACATCTCTCGGATCTTCAGTATAACTACTACTCAAATCATATAATTAATTCTGCTTCTTCTTTTTTCTACTACTTCTACTTTAGTACTACTTCGTGGTACTTCTACGATATTTAAGAAATTCCTATGAATTTCAAAAAACTCCGAACTTCAGGGAAGTCCTAAGATCTTAAAAAACGTCCTTCTCACTTCGGGGGAGTCCCATGAAATTCAGGCAGTACAAACTTCAATTAACCCTTCAGGAAAGACCTTAACGCTTCAGGGAAGTTCTACGAACTTTAGGGAGTTTCTATGAACTTCAGCAGTCAGTCTTTTTAATAATAAGAGTTATTAAACCAGCGTTGTTTATGAAATCTTTTAATCATATGATTTTGAAATCATGTTGTGTTCAAAATTCCGCTAAATAAGATCCTTAATCGTTGACAATTTGCGGAAAATTTAAACAAACTGGAAATCCGTAAAATTGTTAGAAGCAAAGTTATGTTTAAAAAATCCTCATTCATACCACACTTTGCAATTTCACCTTGAGATAAACTAGCCCGTTGGCTAAAAATCGCAGTTTCAAAAACAGAAATCTCAAGATTTAGAGGCTTATAGATCTCTAAATTTCAGACATTAGATAGGGCTCCACGCTAGTCCGTCGTATCTCAGCTTTTCTTCGTCATACACCCCTAAAATCGCTCATTTTACGGGTTATCGCAAATGTTTCAGTGTCAATCGTAATTAATCTGGTAAGCAAAGATGTTTTTGCAAAAACATGAGTGAAAACGCTTTGCTATTATAGTTTTAGCACATACAGGGTGCGAGCAATGAATTTTGTGCGATTTATTTTCTTTCGCAACATATGGAATTTGTATGTAAATTTATTCAAAAAAATTGCCTTCCCTTTCGACGACTGTAGTTAGACGCTTCCGGAAACTGCAGTATGCACGTTTTAAAATGTTTCGATCCATAGATGTCATCACTGCCTTGATTTTAGCTTTTAGCGACTTAAGTGTGGTGTGCGGGGTTCATTTGGTATCCCGTTGGACGACGCCCTATACAAAATAATCCAACGGATTGATATCGGGACTGCTTGGGGGCCAAATTTCTTCCTCCCAAATTTACGAAATATTTTCCGTAAGCCATTTCTGTGCTTTATTAGCAGTATGAGCAGGTGCTCCGTCTTATCACTTCCCCAAACCTTTTTTAATATTATACACTGTTCTTTCAGACACTTTTACCGACCGAATTATTTCTTTCATGCATACTCCGGCGCGCAACAAAGCGACAACGGCTGACAGATTGCTCTCGACATCTTTACGTTTACTCAACATTGTTTGTTTAAATCTTACACTTAACAGTATAAGCTATCCAGTGCTGCCAAATATATCTAAATCATGATGCACAAGCATGAGAAATTACTATTTGAAATTTACTGCAAAAATTCGTCACGCACCCTGTAGAACGGAAA